AGGGAAAGTTGTTCCCAGGATCGTGTTGCACGCTGAGTTTCCGGTTTCATTGAACGAGAACAATAAACCCCCTGCTGCACAGTGGTTGAAAACTGGAATTTAGTGCTCGTAATTCACTGGAGCCTTCATTTTTCACTTAATTTGATTAGTTTTTATTTTTTTTACGAAAGCTTACAATATTTGCACGAGACCAGTTGAGCGTGATTTCTGAATTTTTAGTTTGATTATATTAAATTTTTTAGGCAAAATGCAGAAAAAGTAGCAATTTTGAAGAAAATATATTCTCCTGTTCCAGTTAATAAATGTTACATAACAAAAGCTAGTTGAAAACAATTGTATAGTTCTCCCTAAACAAAAAAAATACACAAACGAATTTTTTAAATGTTATAAAAAAAAGTTCACCAAAATAAATATTTTTTGTTTGGTTTTTAGTAAAAATTGGTTGAAAAATTAATTATGAATTATGGTACATGCATGTTGGAAGCAAAGGATGGCGAGGTCCTTGAACGGATTTGACTTCATTTTTCGCTACAGCAGGGGAACTTGTACAATTAAATAATATAATTAACTGGTAATTATTTGATTTAAATCACGATATGGGTAAGGTACTTTTATCATACAAGTTGTATGTATGTATGTATTCCCAAATCATTTTGAAAAAAAAAATGTCCTTTATTTTACGTTGGTTAATATGGTCACCGTAAGTATAAGTGACACTTGATTTTTTTTGCCAGTTTAACCCTAGAACACACACCCAGAAAATACCACGTAAACACACACCCGGGATACGTTTGTACCCGGGACCTTATTTTGCGGTTTTTTTAATGCTTATTCAACCGATTTCTATGATTTTTTTTTGAAATGTATATTTTAATATATAACAAGTATTTTGTCTTTTGTTTCATTCGAATATTCCTACTGGTTCCAGCGATATGGGCAAATAAAGTCAGGACATGCAATAGTGGATTTTTGTTTTTGTTGTTGTCCTGATAAATGCAAAACAAAATAATATAATTTATAATAATATACTTGTAGAGTAACAACGAATACACATTTTGGTTTTTATTTCATTGAAATATTCTACCTGGTTCAAAAGAAGTGTGCAAAAAGGTCGCGCATGGTATGGGTACGTAGGTAGCAAATACACTGGTATAACTGGTTTTTGTATTTTATATGCAGCTGCAAGGGTTGTTTTCACACGAGGTGTTGTTATAAATGCTGCCTGTTGATATTTTCATTATTGTTTTGGTGCTCAAAAGTGTAAGAAGTGAAAATATAAGTGAAAATAAATATAACTGAAACTATAAATAACTGGATACGAAATGACTTCAAGAAGAAACGAATATTTATCAAGTGCAGCATATAGAAGGTAAAAAATGTAAAATAAGCAACAATGTAAACATATACTAATTTTTTTTATTATGCAGGCTAACTGAGGAACAGCGAGAATCATATATACAATCTTTATTTGATGAAATTTGTGACGATGACGCTCCCTATGACTTTGACTCAGAAGATGAAGAAGAAATTCAAATCAATGACATTGAAATTGCTGATGACGATGCTGAAGTTTCGCAAAGTGCCGCAGAAGTATTACCTGATTATGCGGGCTATGAGGATGATGAAGAAGACGATGAAGAAGAAGAAGTAGAAGAAAATAATGAATTACCTGCTAGTGCCGAAAAATTTGTTGCACGTGATGGTACTGAGTGGATGAAAGAACCAAATGTAAGTCGTCAGGTACTCAGACAAAATATTATAAGAGAACGTTCTGGACTAGCTAGATGCACTGAAATGTTGTCAACAGAGCAAACATTCAAATGTTTCATGAACGTTGAAATGGCTGATATAATTATGCGCCACACAAATAAGTTAGCAAAAGAAACTTATAATGCTTACAACAATGCGCATCCAAACACAACTCCTAAGTCATGGACGCCTGTGTCAATAACAGAGCTGTATGCATTTTTTGGCATACTTATTATGACTGGTGCGAACCATAGCAATGGAGAACATGTTCGAGATTTATGGAGCGTCAAAAACTATCCTTTATATCGCGCCACAATGGGAGTCAACCGTTTCTGTTCGATATTGCGGTTCCTAATATTTGACGATAAAAACACTCGTGCAACACGCTTACTAACTGATAAAGCAGCACCGATCAGTGAGTTGTGGACGATGATGAACAATAATCTTGCTGCACATTACAAGCCCAGCTGGACGCACACGGTTTACGCAGTACATACCGTCAAAACCTGCTAAATATGGTATCAAGGATTGGTGGATTTGCGATGCCACAAATGCATATCCACTGCATGGACAAATATATACTGGCCAAGCAGAAACTGGTAGGGAAACGAAACAAGGCGAACGAGTGGTGAAGGATTTGTCTGCCAAATACCAAGGAAGTGGCCGAAACATTACAATGGACAATGTGTTTACGACCTTGCCAGTTGCAGAACTGCTTCTCACCTGGAAACTCACGATCGTTGGAACTTTGCGCAAAAACAAATCATATAATCCTCAAGAAATGAAGCAGAACAAAAACAGGACAATTGGTTCAACGACATTTGGCTTCAAAAATAATGTGACAATGTGCTCTTATGTTCCCAAAAAAAATAAAGCAGTAATTTTGCTTTCGACCATGCATAATGATGCTGAAATAGCTGACAGTGGGAAACCTGAAATAATTGAATATTATAATCGTACCAAAGGTGGTGTTGATCGAATGGACCAAATGTTTGCGGAATATCCAACACAAAGACAAACAAAACGATGGCCACTAGCGATGTTCTTCAACATGTTGGACATTACAGCTCTTGCAGCCTACATTGTCTACGATTTGAATAACCCTATGTTGCCTTGGAGAACAAACAACAAGCGTAAGCAGATCCTGCGCAGCTTGGCTGAAGCATTGTGTATGCCCATTATTGAAGCCAGAGCCATAAATCGTCAAGTGACGCGAAATTTTTCGACTAAAATTGCTATTGAAGCATATTTCAACCGACCGGTGGAATCAATGGTGTCAACAGCAGCATCAACATCTGCCGCAGCGCGCACGCCAAAACCTGTGTCCGGATCTTGCTATTTATGTTACGCACAAGAGGAAAAACGCCGTAGAAAAACCAGAAAGCTGTGCGACAAATGTAAGAAGCCAATGTGTCTTGAACATTCGGTCACATCAACAAATTGCTCTATTTGCCATGATTTTCCTTAGATATAAGATGCATTTTTATAATGTTTATAATAAAAGTCAATAATATAATGTGTGAAATGAATATTTTTAATTTTTCAAATAAAAAAATAATATAAAAAATGTTTTTTTTTTATTATTATGAGGATTTTTACTATTGGGGTACAAACGTATCCCGGGTGTGTGTTTACGTATATAATGTGTTTGGAAGGCTGTAGCTCCTGAACCAATGGTCCGATCTGGTTCAAATTTTGAATTTGAACTCAAAACTAAATAATCTTCCTAGATCCTAGAATCCTAGAGATTAGCGGTATAGAGGTATAGCGGTTCAAAAGTTACAACACTTCAAAGTTGAAAGTGGATACATTTGTACCCGGGTGTGTGTTCTAGGGTTATGTACATGTTGTCCTCAATACAGGGACCGCAAATTCATTAATTTAGTACTCATTTGAGTCTATAATATACTTACTTTTGAGATACTTTGTCCGTTATTGAAGTAAATTCCTTACTCAGTAAAATAGTTTTGCAGATATATTTATTTCAATTTTATTTATTAATAATTATTACAAAACGCTTAAAAATAATATTTAAGTTTAACATACATGTTTTTGTTTAATGTATGTGCCTTTATTGGTGGGTACACCATTTTTTTTAAATGAACTACTTCAAAATTGTTTGTTTCTTCTCCCAACATATATGATAATAAATGTTTTTCATATTTTATTGTAGAAATTTCATGTAGGAGTGTATAGACCTCATCCTCAAACTTAAATACTTCTTTAATTTTGAAAATAATAATATTAGGTTGGAAAAAACATACAAACATATGTGATTGAAAAATAGTGCCATGTATCTTACAAAAATCAAAACATATGCATTTTTCAATATCCTGTATTGTGTAAAACCTTTCCAAATTTGATAAGTTTTTCGATAAAGAGGCACAAAATTGTTTTTTGCTGAAAGTATATATTGCGTCATCAAAGTTGGAAATAAAGTTTGAAAAATTTAGAGATAATTTATAACCTAAAGATAGTAAATATTTCTAGAGAAAATGTATTTTTTGCATAAGTTTTTAACTGTCTATGCTTGGCCTTAAATTTTTCAAAGGTCCCGATTCTTCGATAACTCTGCAATAGTGTAAAAGGAAATGGTGTTTTGGCTTTAGCGTGTCATTAAAAAACTCTCAGTATTTTTTGTTGTGAATACTAACCATTTCTTTTATGGATAATAAGTCAAGACTACTACATTCAGGCAATAGAATTAAGTTTAATAACTCTAACAAATTAAGCAAAAAAGCCCACACATCGTCATTTTCAGGTACTTTGTCTCCATTAGAAGTGGGAAAAAGTGTGCAAACGATAGCATTTCCCTGCCTGTCATTTTTATGTTGAAATTTTTCAAATTTTGCAACGAAATAGGAGCAGACGAATTGCCCAGTTCAGATTTGTCATACTGAAAATTTTGTTTTCTGATATTAAATAGATCTAAAGAGAAATATTTTTTTTTCAAAAAGGACAAAAGTATATGACTAAAGTCGTATTTCAGTATTCCTTCGAATATGTCATGAAGGATATCTACTGAATAGTTACAAATTAAATGAAAACCTTTGATATTATTAAGTAGAGATTTTTCAGTTATTCCTGTTTTCTGAGCATCTAATAGGATAATGTCCTCATCATAATTATTCTTCGTGCGCATTACAAAAGTATTTTCCTTATTCCTTTTATTTGCTTTGCAAAACCTGCAAAAGTAATTTGCGGAAAATGAACGAGAAAATCCCAAAATGTTGTTCAAAGCTAAATTATCTCCTAGAATTAAAGCCAAAGAGAAGTAAACTGTCCTCTTAGTATTATTACATTTAGTTCCAAACCATTTGCCTCTAAATCATTGCAAATTTCAATTAACTTATAGAGACATTTCCCATTACCGTAAGTTTTAATGTCTTCAGATTTGAAAAGTGCAGCAGGAAAAATTAATTTAATTTATGCTTCAATGAAATAGGGGCTGTTGGAAACGAATAATAAATTGCCAATATTGGAGATGTATGTGTAAAACAGGTATATAACCTTTTTCACAATGTCGTAATTTGTTTTTCCAAAGTTTTCCATTAACAAAGTTTTTTAACGAGCTTGATCGAGATAACTTGACCATTTCTTCATTAAATTTTTCTAAAACGTTTGGCAACTCAAAAAATTTCTTCATTTGAAATTTGATAGGAAATAAGACACCTTTTGATGCTGACTCATTTAAGCATTTACAATTTTTGGACAAATTATAGGTTATTGATTTGTCAATTTCCAAAACTTTCGGTGTTTCAAATAAATCAAGAGAAGTAATTTTTTTACAAACTTATATTCGGAAGCTATTTGGTCAAAAGGATTTTCGCAAAACTGTTTAATTTTCTCAAGACTTTGCTTTAGTGTATTTTCTGGGGTATCTAATTTTGAGCAAATAATTTCTAGTTGTCTACAAATTGGTGCAGTTATCATTGCTTGAATATCATGCTGCAGATTAGACACTTCGTTTCGCGGATAAAAGTTGGTAGCATAATTTTTCATTGTAAACTTAACAGAATTTTCATAAAATGGTTGCAAATCAAAATCGTGAGAAATTTCTTCTTCTTCTTTTTCTGTTTCGTGAGTTACATGACTTAACTTTGGTTTTTTACATAAAGAAATGCAATTATCAGCTTGCAATTGTGTATTTTGCGAAAATTTTTTTAAATATTTCATTATACTCCAATTTGTGAATAATGTTGCGCATGTGTCTGCGAAATGACGTGAAGTCCGTAAAAGTTTGATGACAACTAATGAATCCACAGTCGAAAGTATCAGTTGGTTTTTTCTAATGGTAATATTTCAAATGAAGAAATAAATCTTCGCAAGATGAAACATTTTTTTTACACACAAAGCAAATCATTTTAAATTATTAATTATGGTAGATATAAAATTATCTTTAGTATCAGAAATTTTAAAAAAGAATTGATCTACAAAATTCCAAATCTGTTCACAGTTTTGGGGATATTTCAATCCTAATACATACATGGAATATTTTGAGACATATGTCAATGCTCTTAACAATATTACCGAGCTTATAATATATGCCCGCAAAATAAACGAAAAATTCTTTTAAATCAATAATGTCATCACCGACCGCACACATAAACGGCTGCAGTTTAATATTCTGACCATATACTTCATCAGTGATTGCGCTGATTTTTTGCTGTAACTCCAGTCGGCTTGTTGCGTAACATAAGAATGAGTCTCTTGAGTTAGATATTGTTGTATTCTTCTTATTGCTTCTGTTTTTCGGCTTTAGAAGAGCTGGCAGACCAAAGCAAATGATAATATCACGGACATCTAAAATATAAAAACATACATTCATTTAGGAATTACTGTGTAAGTAACCTTTTTCTAAATTGTCTGAGTCTAGTTTTTGCAGTATATCCAAGGTCAAAGAATCTTTGATTGTGCGTTTCAATATTGGAGTAACTTTCTCGACAAATGGGTGCCAATTTTCAAGTAAAAGATTTTGTTTCGCTTCATAAATGTTCGCGAAATCACTATGAATCTGTAAAAAAAAATTATAAAAATAAGTAATTATTTTAACATTTACCAAACAATAGCTAAAACTTTGCTTCACAATGCTTCACAATCGGCCATTCAGACAAAATATCAGATGTAGAAGCAGCAGATTTCAAAAATTGTGTTCTGCTGATAAAGCACTGTTGCCATTTTTGTAAGACCTCGTCGTAGGGTACAATATTGAAGAAAAGCCAAAGTTTGTTTTCTTCCTATTCAGCAGTATTAACAGTTTTTTGGATGACTGTTTGTGAATTTGCTTGCGGTAGTTCATTCTCGTTAAAACTTTGTTTGCGCAACCGATATAATGTATTATGGTATTTAGTATATAGGAAACCCCCTGGTTTTTCCCTTTTCTTTGTTAAAAATAAATATCCTAAAAAATGGGTAAAAAACAAGTATCTAATTTTTCTAAGCTTAGACGCTCACACACAAGAAAAAATAAGTTAGTAAGGATTTATAATTAAAATTCTACCTTTGTTTCCGTAGCAAAAATTGCAAAAATTTTTTTAGAAATATTTTCGAATAATTTTGGCCGAGCTGCTATTTTATTGTCGAGAATCTATTGGCAAATGGAAGAAGTTACGACTTTTCTGTGCGATTCTGGAAGTTTTTTATATCTTTCGTATGATTTCAGTAGTTTTGTACCACCAGCACTGGTTTTTAAGACCTCTAAAATTGAAATCTATTAAAATGAATAATGTTTAAAATAGT